GAGTCCTAGAAGGACGAAACAGCTGTATGATGTAGCATCACTGACGAGTTTTATAAGTACAGCTGTATGATACAGCTTCATTCATTATTTGGCTCTACTGTATTTAGTCTCAGGTGCTTTCTCTTGTGTGTCCCTTGTAAAATCTTCGAGTTAAAGTGTTTGCTCTCAGTTCCGTCGTTGTTTGAATTACAGCTTCAAAGCGTCACCTTAATGAAGACATGTGGCTGAAGTTTCGTTTTTTTTATGAATTGGTGTTCTCATCTCGGTGTCGTCTGAATGTAGAAACACATATATAAACTTGACCACCTTGCCACAGGAAAAAGATAGGAAAGACAGACGATCTTATCTGATTCGATAGTGGCAATAAGGCCTGACCTTGACTTGATGGGATTCATCTTACATTTTCCGGAAATCTACACCGGCACCAAGAAAGACATTATCTATTTTTCTATCAGTTCAAAATAAATATAAATATGATCTAAAGCGTTCTCTTTCGGTATCCCTTTATCTGTTATCAACCCAGGGATCGGATGTCGGAAAGTGTTATCGTCTTAGAAAATGGAGAAGCTGGATTTATTTGATATTGATCTGTATTACTCCATGTCTTTGTCAATGGAAAGAGAAAAAGAGATCTTTACGGTATCGTATGTTTAACTGGTCGACCAGGAACAAATTTTTCTGATCTTATTATCTACTATTGGGATGTGATTGCTGATAACACTCGCTATTACTGCCCAAGGGTTATGTAGAGGTCAGAGAGATATCGAAGGCATTTCGTTTCCATTTTGAATCCATTAGTTTTCGTCATAAACTATACATGAAATAGTTTTTATTGCAACGTTAAAAAATGTATATTTAAACAATGGAATAATGACCATGAGACGACTTTGTGTATTCCCTTGCGACATAACCAAAGGCCAAGCAATACAAATAAAGACATTAGGGGAAATACTCATCAAAGACAAGAATGAATATGTAACTATACTAAATTTAGTTGCCTCTTATAATCTTGCAATGGTGTTACCAGGTTCAATTCTTACGTCCCTCACAGGGCATGGCATATTATACAATTCGGATTGGATACTGCGTTCATGCTGACATAAATGCCATTTCTCATAGATATCTTGATAAAAGTTTTATTATGTACCAGCAGTGTTAGAGTCTGATGCGTGCATTGTCAGATCGAGCGTTATTTCTAGAACAGTCTAACATAATATATGTCTATGTTTCTTATTAAAGACCCGGTATTTTTTTCAGACCAAGTGAAGTCAACATTCCTATGAATGCAACGTTCCAAAAACTGTTACCAAGCATCACATAATCAACATTCACGGTTCAAAACATCTCTATTTGTAGTTTGCTATTACGTGGCGCATTTCAGGGTTGCATTGGCGATATTTGATCAATATATACATGTTTATTGTTTTCCGAAGTCTCTGATATAGCCCTTATAAGTCTAGTGCTCCGACAGAATGACCCTGGTGTTGTCGATTTAACATACCTTTAAATGTACGTACAGCTAGTAAACTTAACTTCATATCTTTATAATATTATACCCGGATTCCATTCAGTAACGCCAATTTCAACAAAACAATCCACACTACCACCAGACAATCAGTTCAATCCTTTATTGATTTTTCTGATTGCGATACTCCCGTTTTGAGCCTCAAAACGCTTGTGAACCAAATACTTGCGAATGGTAGGTTTATATCGGTTGTCATGGCAATTTAGAATCACGTGATACGTAAAACAACCGCAAATCATCGTGATTTCTAATGAATAAATTGTGTGTCCGTGTGGACAGTTATAATGACTTGGGAGTTCTTAGCTTTATCAAGGAGAATGGTGATTTTTACGATATCAGTCTATTCATTTAAACATAATGGGTAGCTTATGTCAAGTACAATAAAATATATATATATACCTCCATCAGTTCCAGATAGAAGGCAACTTAATTCAGTACATGAACTCATATAGAAATAGTATTAGTGAAATCTATAGCTGTAAAAGTCTTATGTAAAGTACAATACGATTTTAAATGGCCACACTAACACTCACAAATGTCATGAGGTCAATAGACAGCATTGTTACGTGAACAAAAACATAGGCATATTACGACACTGTGATATTCTTGTGTAAAGTACAATCTTTGACGAGCTTAGATACAGCAATCATAAAAGTGGTTCACAAACACAACGCAATTGTGACATTCTTATGTAAAGTACAATCTTTGACGAACTTCGACACGGCATACATAGCAATCACAAATATGGTCCACAGACACAACGCTACTGTGACAGTCTTGTGTAAAGTAAAACCTTAAGGAAATGTGGGATTAAGTAGCAATTACAAAATGGTTCACAGGCGCAACGGTATTGTAACATTCTTGTGTAAAGTACAAACCTACAAACGATTTTGACCAGTGTACACGGCAATTATGTAATGATTCCAAGACGCGTTGAAGTCTCATGATAACTGCAAAGTGCGAGATATTCAGAAATATCCAAGTAATAGTATTGTTGATTGTGAAAATCACACCATGAGATAAGATGTATTTTTCCTACAAGATTTTCTTTTGATTCACATAAAAATCTTGTTTTTATTACACGCTATGAGAAGAATGTTTTAACAATCTTCGTGACTGTAGTCATGTCTTAGTTGATTAGCGACATTGCTTTAGAAAACATATCATAACTGAGATTTATCACAGAGCTAGTAATTTACATAATAAACATTTTGAGGTGAGGAATCGAGATGAGTGGGTAGATCCTTTTCAGAGACAGATTGTGTCTCTCAAGAGGCTGATATCTACTATTCTGTACTGTCATGCTTGTATTCTTTTGCGAGACACTCCCTATTGCTATGGAGAACTTAGTGTGTGGCTCTCAAATTACGGTTAATGGCGTAACCAACAGGCACTAAATGGCGCCTAAAAACGAGAATGTTCACACGGATATAAACACCACACACAAATGAACGATGGACAATATGAACATGGCACGTGCACATCAGATTGAGTAAAACACAGATCTTAACTATACAGATGTTACTCATTTTGATCGTATAACCCAGTTTAACAGAAATACTGTCTTGTATAATTTGTGAAAAGTTAAAAAAAAAACAGCACGAAAACACGGTCAAGTTTACAAAATTTTAACCTAAGTTCAAAGGTGTTGAAACGAGGTAAACATTTGAACAAAAGAAATATTTCAACCAAGACAATTGAAAAGTTACAAGACAAATAGCTTTGCCTACTTGCATTATATCACACCAGACTTCAGCTGAGTATCATATACATCAATCCAACCTTCTACCGCAATAAAAACTACAGGTACCAGGTGTTCTGTTAGTACGGCGCGTCATAATGTGTTATAATATATCTGTATCACTTAACGCCCGGAATCCAATCGTCCATATTGAACAGATGAGAAAAACGTCTGCTGCTCATATTTTACCTGGGGCGAGTGAAAGGCAAGAGACAAGTCGTCTCAATTTACAAATACGTCAGATCGCAGCTGTATGACTTGACAGATAATTACAACTTACCCGCCATATCCAATACGGATCTGAGTGACGGAAATGTTTGAGGTAGACGCAGTGTTGTAAAGCTATCCATTTTCAGCAGCAGTGAGGTAATTGTTTCGTTTCATGTTTACCAAGGTCATTGAAAAAAAATCCTTGATAAACTCACAATATCATCTTTTTTTAAAATTTCAAATGAAGTTTCGTTTAATAGCAAAGATTTTTTTTAAATTTCCATTGACCTTTCGTTTGATAGCAAAATCATCAACGACAAACGATACGAAATTGAACAGATAACCCGGATAAATGCTTTGCCATAAAATCACTTCCATTTGTTTATTTTCCCTATGCTACTAATCAATACCTCAAGGTAAAACCTTTCCAGTAGGCGTTCGCTGAAAATACGGAAGTTTAGATTTAATACAAACCCTAACCGATTTTTGTAGCGTATTCTTTCATTAAACAGGAACACGTTATTTTAATCATAGCAATCAATCTGGCAATTTAGTTAGAAATAAAAACAAACACATCTTCCGGAAATAAATGTTACTGTTTTGATCTCTGAATTGAAAATTTACAGAGTGATGCTATAATTCTGTTTACTGTTGTCGAGTCCTGTTTTTCGTGGAGCTCAAATTTTCGAAAACATTATTTCATGGGTCTTTGATTTCTGATGAAATCCATTGATACTAAAAATTCATCCCATACTGTAACACTCTATCATTTTGTGTATGTGAGTATTCGAAAAACGCCAATAAAATTAAATCCCCACGAAAACCAATGATTTAACAGTATGTGTGTATGTTTAGCGTGCCTCTCACCTAGGTCTGTTTTAATATTTACTGTGCATGTGTTTCTAAACAAAATTTACATCGCTATGAAACAACAATTTTAGTCCTTATTTCTTATGTCGGTATAATCAACACACAAATCTCCATGTCGACGCGGGGAATTCATTGTATTGAAACTACGCCGACAATAAGATATAAACCGAAGTTAACCCATTAGACCAACCGGAACCGGTGTTACATGTTAAACACACCCGGTGCACACCAAAAAAAAAAAGGACCGCTGTTATGAATGTCGTGATTATAGTCAATAACACTGAGATATCAGCAGTGTCACTAGTTACTTCACCGATGTGTGAACTCGTTTATAAAATTACAGTACTTTAGACATTTGCTTTAATATTTAATGTTGAGCTGTAGAAACTGGATAGCCTCTCTGGCACCATAGTGTCCGGGCTACACAGCCCCGGATAACAACGTATTAAAATTCCCTGAACAGGTTTATCCACGCTTTTACGAGGGGTAGGGGATAATTCATTATTTTTTTTCTTATTGCTGTCTCAGTACCGCGATTGTTGACATGACGTCATTTATATGAAAAAACATTATCACACATCGTCAGAGAGACAGACAGACAGACAGATACAGACGGGCTCAATGAGTTTTATCGTAATTTGAATAGATTCAATATCACCTACCTCCAAACGTTAGGCCGACTTCATCCAGAAGTATCTTCCGGAGGTCCGCTTGGTCATACAAGCGGAAGTAATCCTGTTTAATATCCCGCGCTTTTTCTATGATGTCATAATGCAGAGCTTCAACACACAGGTGACAGAAATCCTCAAACACGTTTGCGTGCCCTTCCCGATTGTATAGAATCTTCAAAGACTTCCATCCAGTATGATGAAACAGCTTAACAAAGAAATCCGATAACGAATTGAAATTCACTGGGCCCACTCTGGTCAATTTTGGATATTGTGACTTCCGGTATCTGGCAAAATCACGCGCCATGGCGCCACCGGAAATTAACGGTATATTCCAAAATCTTGTTTGCCTAGCAACGGGTGCTACGGCATAGTCACACACTGGACCAAAAAAGGCATCAACTTTACGATTGATATAAAAGTCTATGGCCTGGTTGATTCCTTCCGCAATTGAACACTGGGAGTCTGCGTACTCGACGGAGAAAGTGAGATTTTCCACTAGTGTGTAATTGCTGCTTAATTCGTCAATCGCCATTTGTATGGCTGGTGTTATCCGGTCAATGGAAAAACTCTTTCCATTATCAGAAGGTAATATTGTAGCTATCTTCACAACTATAGAACTCACGGATAATATCATGCTAAATAGTGTTATATAAACCGAAATATTGAACTGTTTAAATCCCATTTTTAGAAATAGTCGTATTAGCACACTGTGTACGTCTATAAGAATTCAGTGCCAGTAGATTGCAGTGTATAACTGACCGACAACGGATGTAGGATACAATAAGAACACTGTTATAAGATAGAGCTGGATTATATCGCGTGCTGTAACCACCGCTTTTTAGGTAAGGAAGCCTGACACGTATTTCGCTGTGAGATGCAGATAAAGACACGATGCTGATTTCTTCTTTGGTAAAAGTGACATGGAGTTGAATATGATTTAGATTACTAAAATCTCCGACACAAAGAGTTGATTCATATGAATAACACACGAAATTCCCCTAAGAACGAGACATCATTTGTCTCGGAACAAACAAACAAAAACTCCAAGAACCCTGATCACGTTGATAAAAATAACGCATCAAATTTTAGCAACAGCTGGCAAGTCTTCAGTCCGTTCGAGGTCCATTTGATATTTTGGTAATTTTTTTCGCAGCTGCCACAAAATTAATCCAAGGTAGATTCAACGCTAAAGATAATGGATAAAATTTTAGCTACAGCTTGCAAATCTTCAGTCCGTTCTAGGTCCATTTGATATTTTGATAATTTTTTTCGCTGCTGCCACAAAATTAAACTACTCCAATGTAGATTCAACGCTAAGTAACATTCAAAGTGTGTACGTGAATTATAATATTCTAATTTCTAAATGTCTTAAAATTTTGCAGAATCTCCAGACTATAAGCAATATATGTAGGCATTTCAATAAATTAAACGTCATGCATGACTGAACCGGACACAGGGACACATTTTATGATACATTTCGATGTGTCTGATTTCGAGCATTTGTCAATCTAATAGTTTATATGTTTTTGTAAACGGTTCAGTTATAATCCTCACAGACTTAGTGTCCTGCAGAACGTCGGACAGCTGGTACAGGCCTTTAAAGCAAAATGTGTATTACATAAATACCTATATGATAATAGATAGTAGTCAAGCATCGTTAGTAGTCTTTTTATCATAAATAGATAATGACATAATGTGTTAATTAAAATATTGTAGAGTTTAGAGGTCAATCTGAATACAAAGTAACATATTGGAATGTACAAAAGTTCAATTTATTGATATAATTAAAATAGATATATGGGTCTGAATTCAGCATGTTTAGCTGTCTGAAGAAACGACTTGGTATAAACATGCTTCCATTTTACATATACCTCCTATAACCTAATGATGACACATGTAAGTTGGTACATTAAGCTTACGATACTATCAAAAGATGGTCGACACTTTAAGTGTGAAACTTCTATTGACAGTTATATGTAACAGATTTCAACGGACCGAAGGCTGGGAAGCAAAATTCACAATAATATTTTTGAATATTAATAAGAATTCGTGAAAGATACTTTAAAATGGCGACACCTGTTGATGTAGTTGGTGATATTTTATATATAGTTAAATTCCCCATGAAGAGCTGAACACAAAGAAAATATGATTCTTGGCTAATATATAACCAATTTCTTACTAAAAGTAAATCTCTCGGAATATGATACTATAAATTTGTGATTACGGTCCTCGTGTATTGCTATCATACAAAAATCAACCACACAAAATAGTAAGTGAGCATACTTCATCGGCGGCAATCGCCTTTGTTCAATTAAAATAATTATTGTCATGTTCTCAAAAGAGTGAACAAGGTCTCCACCAACGGAACAACTAGACATACTAACGTGATCAAACATGTATAATTTCAGACCGTATTTAGATCTACAGAATAAGACCAGGTGTTCCGGAAGAGTAAGCGTCTTTTGTATCATCGACGACACCTGCCATTGGTCAATATCAAGTGATAAATGCCACGTTGCCAAATGAGAACATGGTAAACAACAACGGAACCAACAGGTAAGCGAACGAACATCAAACACGTCTAAATTACCATAACATTTATATCATAGCACAAAACCAAAGGCAGCAAATAGTATCAAAATACCTCCAGCTACGAAATTGAATAAGAATGTTAGGCTTTAATGAGTTGTTGTAACAAGTTTTGAAATAGTAATCTAGATATATATGGATTTCTCTGGCTGATTCGTAGAACATAAAGCCAATTTACACTTCTGTTTTCATCTTCGATGATGAGTACCATATTAGGGAAATGTAAAATCGTTTTTGTTATTACTGACTGTTAAATCATTCTAAAAACACAAAAAGAGCGTTCTGCGTTTTAACACTTACAACTGAAGAAAACTTTATTGAAATACGCCATGATGTAATTGCAATCACTCAGAATACACAAACATGAATTTTCTATTCGAGACAGCAATCACTGCTATGAATATATAAATACTGTTTCTATAAAAGATTCTGCAAAATAATCTTCTTTACAAAGGAAATTGGTATTTCGGAACAACTCAGAAAAACATTAGTCTAAATTACCCGGAAATGAAAATATCCAGATTTGTTAGTCAGTGCACAATAAGGTTAGCGTGATAACAATACATCGTCTTAGAATTCTCAAATGACCATTGGTCAGCTCCGGACAATCAATAGCGTGTTAGTATTCGTTTAAAACCTTGTACGGACGCTTTCTCCCAGTCATCCGGAGTAATCCCGTCATCATGACGTGAAAAGAATATTTTGTTTGAAATATAATATATTTTATTCATTAAATCTGTTCCATAAGGAATGTAACATATCATTCAGAATGACAAAATATCGAATTGCCTTGTACATGAATATTTACTTATATTAGAAGAAATTTGACAGAAGGTATAAATGATTTACTAGGCTTACATTTATGTCATACTTTCCTTCCAGTAGGAACATAGTTAGAAAAACACTGTAGAAAAGACCTTAGAATATTTGCCCCATGTTAATTAGTACACACGGTGATTAAGTTGTCAGTACCCAGCAAGAAAACACAAAACAGGACCAGCATTACAACAAAATGGCAAACATCACAAAGACAGGGGAAGGACCGATGTTTTATTGAAGGGGTGTTATAGATGCCACTAAAAACACCAGCAAAAAGATGTTTTCTACTAAAGACAAAAGAAATTTTATGATGAAATATCAAATTTGTGTCGTGTTGTTCCTCACTTTGTGTGACTGCGAGTAGTTAAGAATCTTGAATTTTGAATCGCAATGTGGACACCCAACCAACCCCACCGCCTCCGTTATAAACTCCTATTTTTATGGTCTGTTTAGTACATAAAACTGTATCATGAGATGACTATAACTATGAAAAAACCTTTGTTTATTGTTACAAAAGAGAAGACCGTGTTACTGTGTATTAAATAGTATATCATGTAACAAATAGTATCTTATGTATGAAATATATAACAAATAGTATCTCATGTATCAAATAGTATATCATGTATCAAATAGTATCTAATGTCAAATAGTATCTACCACATGTATCTTATGTAAGAAATAGTATCTTATGTATCAAATAGTATCTTATGTAACAAATAGTATCTCATGTATCAAATAGTATCTCATGTATCAAATAGTATCTTATGTACCAAATAGTATCTTATGTAACAAATAGTATCTTATGTACCAAATAGTATCTTAACAAATGTACAAATGATATCTTATGTACCAAATAGTATCTTATGTACCAAATAGTATCTTATGTAACAAATGATATCTTATGTACCAAATAGTATCTTATGTTACCTTATGTATCAAATAGTATCTTATGTTACAAATAGTATCTTATGTACCCTTATGTAACATAGTATCTTATGTACCAAATAGTATCTTATGTAACAAATGTAACAAATGGTATCTTATGTAACAAATATTATCTTATGTACCAAATAGTATCTTACGTACCACATAGTATCTTATGTTACAAATAGTATCTTATGTACCAAATAGTATCTTATGTACCAAATAGTATCCTGGAATATACATGAAATATCAATCAAAATAAAGAAAAGAGAAACATGTCGTGTTAAGTTATGATTCCAAAACAGACAATCATATTTGATTGGGTGATGAAGATTGTAAATACTGTCCAAAAATACACAAATAGATTTTTTTTTTAAATCAATTTTAGAAATCTGTTAACAGTCAATCAGTCAATCAATCAATCAATTAACTAGCCAACCAACCAAACGACCAACCAACACACAAACAACCCACTAACAAGCAGCAAGCCCAACAAATCAATCAATCAATCAATCAATCGATCAATCAATCAATCAACAAATCAATCAATCAATCAATCAATCGATCAATCAATCAATCAATCAATCAAACGATCGATCGATCAATCAATCAATCAATCAATCAAAACAGACACAGAATCCGACATATTGGAGCGCAGTAATGACTTATACTGCATTATACAAGTGTTTCGTCCTTCTAGAACTCGTCAGAGATACGACGGCCAAAACTTGTTAGAAAACGACAATAGGGACAACTATCGCTGAAACCAGTTTATCGTAACACGATGCTTTTAGTGCCAATAACGTTTCATGTTTTCCCTAATATGTAAACCTATCTGTCAACATCTAGTAAACAGTTTAGAATCTCCATCAATAAATAATAAGTATGATAATCAATGTATGATAACTGATACAGGACCATAATTATATTTACTGCTGGTGAACGTTTTGGTCCCCGGGGTTGTATCTTGAACGTCGTGTTTAAATTGCTTCGAATAGTGGTATATACAAAAAACACTTGACTTTTTTAAAAATCATTCAACAAGGACAAATGTAAGTTGATCAGCTGTAGAGCTTATAGGGTGTAGTGTCAATCCTTTATCAGCCTAATCTAGAATGTTCTACTTTCATTTCGTTCATTTTTCTCCATAGTTCAGGCATTAAGTATCACTGACAAGCCCTGGGAATACGCACGGATCTACAACACAGTTAAATTCTACTTTGTGTTGAATGGCGTTTTGAGGCGTCTTTTGTACCAGCTTGATATGCTTACAGAAGACAGGTAGCTATAATGACAGATAAC